CGTCGCATGGAGTTAGTGAAAAATGGAGATCTAAATGAAGAAACGATGTATTTCAGCAAGTATTAAAACATTTTAGTTTTATTTTAGGCCTTCTTCAAAATACCTATGCCTACAGCAGATGATTTTTTTGCCGTAAAACCAAAATAGCGTGAGCCCTGACTGAACTCTGCAGAAACTTCACATCGATCTTCGCATCGCGATGTAAAACAAAATGTCGGAAAACTTTTCTTTGACGCATGCGCATTTGCATAAATGTCTACACACACGCGATGTATACACATCCGCATGCGCATTTGCATAAATGTCTACACACACACATACACACTACACACAATAAAAAACATAGGAAATAGCAAGAGTGATTACAATAGTTCCTATTGCATTACATGCATAGGAACTAAAAAAAAAAATGGAGATAAAATACTCAAAGGTCTGAATGAGTGGAATTTAAGGGCATCAGAGTTGTCATAACCATAATTTGCTTTGCGACTCCAAGTATAGAATATACTATAGATCCTTGATTAGACCTTTGCGACGCCTGTCTAAGAGGGGAGAATAGCTCCCATTGGGAAGAAGTAAATAATTTTGTTGAGGAACAGAGTTTTAAAGCATTTTTACCATTGTGAGTGCCATTTCCGAGCGTCTAGAGCTCACCTCACCCCAACCACTACCTATTGGGCCCCTGTCAGAGGATTTCTGGATCCGCCCCTGCATGCATATTGGAGATTTAATTAGAGTGACTGTTTTAAGTTTATCTTATTTGTTGCTGTTTTTTTTTATGGTTCGAATATAGTCACAAGCTACTCAGTAGATAATAAATCATTATTTTTATGAATGTTAGTTAGCAGGAAATAATAAGCGGGCATTATTATGATTTACCAAGATAAACTGAAAAACCTTTTATAATGAGCATTTCAGTGGCAGATTCAAGGGGTCCAGCCAGCCCACCATCCCTAATTTTTTTCAAAAATTTAATTTCAAATGCAAGTCTGAGAGTGCAATTTCCAGCCAACCAGAGGTGCCATAATCATAAATTTTCTGTGAAAGTCCCTCAAATGTAGTGTGGAAATAAATGTTAATTGCATTCATTAAAATTAGATACTACTAATACCAGGCTATAGACACAGCTTCCGGGGGCTCTACCTTAGGTGGCCTACGGCTCAAGACTATTTTGCAATTCATTCCGCCACTTTCAACCATGGATCGATGCCCTTAATCCTAGAGCCATACTTTTAATAAGTCATGTGACTGGTCCTCTAATGCTCTAACTGTGGACAAGGTCAGTCACCCCTTCTATCTCCACCAAATACTGGCACCACCACTGTTCCAGACCTGGTAAAAAATCTGTTACCGAGGAGCATGTGGATCATTGATTCAGCCGATTTGAGAAAGCCTCATCATAAAAACCAATCCCCAACTTGTATTAAATACCATCAAAATGATGATATAGAATGGATCAACTCCTAATAATAAGTAGATCTAAAGGAAATAAATAAATAATCATCCACACACGTGTGTCACAATATTTAGGATATACATTCTACTTTGCAACACTGCCAACTGAATCGTGAACTAATGAATATGCATAGTTGTATGACTCAAGTTAAAATGGTCTGTGAATGGAAATAAGTTACATGAATATTAATGAGGTTAAGGCAAAGTGGCAGTGTATGATTCATGCATTTAAGTGGAGTGTAAAAGTATGCGAATGTGTTAAAAGTGTTAGTTTAAAGGTATCTAGCCATGAGTTGAAGATAAAATATCTTAAGGGAAATATGTGGAATGAGGAGTGTCGTTAAAAGGACATATCAGTCGAGGCACATTTTAAGATAAAAGTACAAGGCTTATATGTAAAAGCTTAAAGTAATTATATGTGAGTGATAGATGAAGTAAGAGAGCTTCACAGTATTGACCGTGAGTACTGTTAATAGTTGATAAATCAGAATATCTACCTATTGGCATATATAGGGTAGTAGTACTAATTGTGCATGTATTTTGATATGTTATATGAATACTTACCTTCAATATATATATATACATTATAAATATATGCTATGTATAATATGTTAAAGCGAATATTGATAGAAAAGGAATACCATTAGCATACCATTCTATATAAATGTTGTATTCATTTATAGATGGTCGGAGGAGGTAGAGCCAAGTAGCCTATACTCAAGACTTATGTACCAAAATATACTAAAGTGATATTGCAGACTGAGGGGAAAAGCCCTAGCAGTTAGCAAGACTTAGTAGATGATCTGTATTTCGAATGCATTATTACAGTGATAAAGATTCTGGGAGGTAGCACAACACTTTGTCATTGGATATACAATGACAACACTTTGTCATTGGATATACAACACTTTGTCATTGTATATCCAATGACAAAGTGTTGTCATTGGATATACAATGACAACACTTTGTCATTGTATATCCAATGACAAAGTGTTGTCATTGTATATCCAATGACAACACTTTGTCATTGGATATACAATGACAACACTTTGTCATTGTATATCCAATGACAAAGTGTTGTCATTGTATATCCAATGACAACACTTTGTCATTGGATATACAAAACAAACTTTTATTTAATTAAAACCAGTTGATTTTATATATAGTTTGTTTCTGTGTCTTATGTCTAGTCAATGTCGTGACAACGTGCCAGTGGTGGCTTCAGAAATTTGCCGACAGGGTCTGAATCAAGGGGCCGACTAGAGCCTTGGTCATGGTTCACATAGAGAGTTTGTGGGTGGGAGAGGTATACGATGCTTAATCCTTCATTTTTGATGATTTTGATTGATTTTTAATTCTTCAAAATTGAAAAATGCTCAAAATCACTTTTTGAACATTTGAAGATTTTTGACATTTTCTGCGCACAATGCTACACGTACGGAAGCTAGAAATTACATTTCTTTTTACATGTTTGTGCCGACATACACTGAAGATATGCTAAAATCAGGCCTATTTTTAATCAGCTAATTAGGATGAATGGTGACCCCCAATTTTTATTACATATAAATATGATTAAACATATAAAATATTAAATATGATTTGACATTGTGACATCATCATATTGCCATCTGAATTTTTTTTAAACTGAATTTTTATATGACATAATAATTTTTATACGGATATGACCGTATCTTGCTTATCCTTCATCGACCAACTCTCACATTTGAGTATGTTATAGCTGAGACAATTCTCTTTCGGTCATGTGCCATTCATTTTTCATTTTGATGACGTCATCATGGTCAAAGCGAATGATTTTTTGGACTCCCCTCATCTCTTTTTCTCCAAATCTGTGAATTTGCACGACAGAGGGCGGCAAACTGTATTTTGAAGCTATTAGACTGATATATAGTTAATATGAAGGAAAAATGTGTGTAACATTACCAAACAACAGGCATTTTTAAATGACACTTGATAAGGTTCAATTTCATGTGCCATTACCATCCGTGAGTGCGTCATGACGTACGCATACGTGTGCGCTAAAATTTTGAAAATTCTCAATATCACTTTCTATATAATTTAAAGCACATTTAAGGTCATTTTCAGCATTCCAAAATTTTCCATAATTTACGCACAGTGCACTCATGTTCACGCGCACAGCTAGTGCTGAAGCTAGAAATTATGTTTTGTTACATATTTTGGGTTCCTGAGACTGTACTCACATATGTGAGGTCTCACTACGAAATGAGACGCATCGTTGGTGAAATCATATTGAGATATTCACCAAAACAGGCCAAAGTCAACATTTTTACAAAATATTGATTTTATTGTTTTGAATAACTTGATACTTTATTTTTCGATTGTACACTTTGTAAGTGAATTTTCTGGCCAAAACAGTGTTCTCTGCACATATTCTGTAATTCTGGTCATATTATTTGTACAGGTTAGTTTATCTTTGAGGCTGATTTTCTCAAAACGTGGTTCTTATACACCTAAACTTTAAATGCTCACATCTCTGGATTTACTTATAGTAGGGAAGCTATTCAAAGACCAAATGAAAGCTTATAATGTGATCTACCCAAATATAATATAAACTCAATTTTTGAATTTCTAACCATGAGACTCATTTTGTGGTGAGATCTCACATATTTCCATTCTTTTTCAGTCATTCTATTTCCAATAACGTATAATGCGTGTCTATTATATGAATCCATGTGTGCGCCTTTGTCAGCATACAGGGAAAATATGCCAAAATCATGCCTATCTTTAATAAGTTTTAGCTCCTTAGGATGCATGGTGACACCCTAATTTGTATTACATATTCTGAAAGCACGAGTAGATATGATTTTAACCTCTTGGGTCCTAATGGCCTCATATATAGATATTTGTTTGGGTCAAGGTCATCTTGTTATCATTAACACTAGCTGGCTGGAACTACTGTCTGATGTTCCAGAAAAGGTGTCTCTAGTATAATGCTCAAAATTACTCTTTTTTTTAAAAAGTATTAATTAGAACATGTTTTAGACCATTTTGAGCATTTAAAAATTTTTCAATCCACACTTCGCACTTTTCCTGAGGGTCAAAGTGAGGATCACCTAACTCGTCCTCAGTGACGAGTTCAAATCTAGTTGTTTTTTTTTTTTACTACATATGCTGTAAATTTTTCTACATTACCAAGGAGTTTTAGTACACAATCAGTTTAGCAGTTGTAACAAGCACTATTCACGGCGGTTTCAATATAGACAATAAGTAGTGAGCCCTCTGTTGGTCACTATTATACATTTTAGATATTCTCGTAGTTGGGGGTGCTAACGCGGAAGCGATAATTTCATTATTCTCCATATATGGGTTTTTAAATGACCAACCAACAGGTTTAAAATTAAAAACATAATGAATATTCATGATATTATCGAAGAAGACATGCTAAACAGTTCCGTAGTATAACATAGGTACGATGTCATGGCTCCTGATTTTACGTGTGAGTATTTGAATTTATTCCATGTTTTTCACCCAAAACTTAAGAAAATCTGGCATGTAAAGTTTACATGGCTATAAATAATTTTTGCAATTTTTTGAAACATTGCCACTTGCTCCATGTTATTACTATCTGACTTCTGCATTATCCCCTAAAAAATCTCTCTGACAACTGTTCCGGTAAAAATTTTATTTAAGTTTAAAAATGACCGTGTCTGGCCTTTAAAATACACATGTTTACCCTAGGCAGGCCTAGCATGTCTACCCTTTAGACGTTTGGCGTAATAAATAACACAGACAAGATAACTATATATTTTTTAAAAATATAATTCAAATGTTTCTAGCAGTCTTCCCAAAAATAGCCTACGCTACGGGAGGGTAAGCTGCCGCCTGGGCTTAGGTGAAAGTAAACAATGTTTGGCCCGGAGGGTATTTAAATTTTAAGTATATACGCGGTATGCTCTCACGTGAAAGTAGGCCTACGCTAGGCCTAGTCTATTCGCTATAGACATATTTTTAGGATTATTCAGACCCCAAGTTTTATAAAAACAGTTATCTTGTAATTTGAAAATGTCTAAAAATATTTGATTATTTTATTATTATTGTTATTGTTGTTATTATTATTATTATTTATTATTATTATTATTATTATTGTTTTATTATTATTATTATTATTATTATACTTTGAAATTTCTTGTTTAGTATCTGAAGTTTGCTGGTATTATTAATGTCTGATGTTCTATCATAATTGTTTAATGAAAAAAAATGGCAAAAATAACTTCTTATTTTTAATTTTAAACAAGATACAAGCGAGCTGATAAAATACATCATGGAGATAATCAATTTGAACATAAAGGAAAGAGCAGCTGGATGGTGTTCATGGAGAGCAGCAGAAAAAATGATACTAAGACAGATATTAAGGTATTTTAAATAATAAAAATTATTCTACTTCTGTACAATGTTTTTTTTTAAAATTATGTATCATCACAATAATGCTTTATAAATCATATCGCATGTTCTTAAATACAGTGTATCAAATGTTGTATTTTCATTGATATCCGTTTTGGTTATGTTGTTGGGAGACCTTTACTATTAGCAAGCACCAGTCTTCCTAAGCATTAACTTGTTTGTCCATTTTTAAATGTTGCCCCTTTTTTTCAATGTATGGTGTTTATTTTTTTTATTTTTATATTTTGGAACGTTACTGTACTTGTATTCCCAAACTATTATGAAATAATAATAATAATAATAATAATAATAATAATAATAATAATAATAAAACTCTTACGCCCTTTGTACCACATCGAAACCAAGGGAAAAGTGAGCACACAATATAATTAACACTTAACATTTTTTACTTTCCATTGCCTAGATTGAATTATATTATGTATTGCCTAATTAAAATATATTTATATTTATCTTTTCAGCTTCTTTAATTGTTACGACGCAGGATGAAATTCAGATACTATGGTGAGATATGTTTACATCTATCCGGTTTTAATCGATATGCAAGCTACATGGAAACAGATGAACTCGTCATTTTGTCTCTGAATTCCTGCTGTTACAGACAGTTTTGTTTGTATTTTTGAAGAGACCTGGGACTTTCAGATGATGGGAAATTTATATTTTCTCTGAATCAACTTACTATTGAGAACAGATTGTTCAAAACCCCATACCCTTTTTGTGAAAATAAATTTACACACTAATTACTGCACATATTAACACAAAGCGCAATAACAGCTATAATATAGTGTGAATATATTGAATTTTCTACTTACAAAGTGCAATAGCAATTCCTACAAAAATAACTGTCAGTATTAAGCTGATTGCATACCTTTAATTTGGATTCCTGATGATGTCATAATTAATATCAAAGTATTGAATCCCTAAACTTTGAGTAAGTATTATTCTA